GCGAGGACGCCCAGCACTGGCACCCCCTCCCCAGGTGTTTGACGGGGCCGTGATCGTCCTGTCCTTGGCCCCGATGGTGGCGTCCACTGTGGCCAACGGGCCCCGGAGCCCCTGGGACGCCATCAGCCTCATCATCCTGCTCCGCATCTGGCGGGTGAAGAGGGTCATCGACGGTGAGTGTCCGGAGGGCTCCCTCCGCGGGGTGGGTGGTGGGCGGGGACTCCCTCAGGGTCAGTTCAGGAACTGCTCACATGCTGCCCGCAGTCCCACGCAGACACCTGAGGTCAGAGGTCAGAGGTCACTCATGCATTCAACATGACTTTCTCGTTGGCTTGGGTGGTCGCCCTCCACCTGAGAGCCGACAGCCGGGCCTGCCCTGCCCTGGAAAGACGAGCTCCTCACAAGCCAGTGCCCCCTGCAGCTCCCACCGGCTGTTCGGGTCCCTGGTTGAAGGGCTGCGCTGTGTCCATCAGGGCCCAGCTGGGTGCCCCCAGGCCTGTCCGCTCGCCAACAGCCAGTGTGTCTGGGAGCTGCTGGCTGGTGGGTTCAGTCCAGCTCCCTCAGCCCTCGTGACTCACGCTCCGTCTCTGGGCCCCCTCCCTGCCCTCCTCTGCCTCCCCGTCCCGGGGCCTGGCTGCCCTGCTCTGAGCCTGTCCCCCAGATGCTGGGTCCTGACCCAGTGGCTCCCCTTTTTCCAGAAGGTGGTGATAGACCAGCATGTGCCCCAGAGGAGGGGCCTGGGTGGGAGGGGGCACACATACACACGCACACGCACACGCATGCGCTGGCTCACCTGTCCTGACCAGGAGGGTGGAGCCCTTGGCCCAGTGGAGGTGCTGCCACCAGGAGGACAGATCTCAGCCCCACAGGGCAGGGCCGCCCCCTCCCCCCCCCACACACACACAGTCTGGTTGCTGTTGGGCCCCGGGCCCTCAGGGATGCGCCTCGACCAGACCTGCTGGCTGGCCTTGGTCCCAGGTCCTCACGGCCGTCTCTGTCCGCAGCTTACGTCCTGCCCGTGAAGGTGGAGCTGGAGCTGGTCATCCAGCAATACGAGAAGGCCAAGGTCATCCAGGACGAGCAGCTGGAGAGGCTGACGCAGATCTGCCAGGAGCAGGGGGTAACCGTGGGCACAGGGGTCTGTTCGGTC